TTTGTTGTTGTTCTTGTTGTATCCTTCTCTTTAATTTGTATTTTCTTAGATTCTGGGACATTTCTCATCTATAGCAGTGGCCTGCAGAGCTGCTTGGAGACAAAGGACTCTTTGGTGAAAATTTCAAAGATCTGTAACACAAGTCTTCCTGCTCAGAAGTGGAAATGGGTTTCCCGAAATCGGCTTTTCAACATTGGAACCATGCAGTGCTTGGGAGTCTCCTGGAAGTCTGCAAACAGCAGTGCTACCACCCATGCGTTGGCCACTTATGAATGTGACCGTGAATCTGTCAACATGCGGTGGAACTGTCGGAGTCTAGGGGACCAGCTTTCCCAGTATTTGAGCTCCAGGTTGGGGAACTGGTCACTGACACCAGCTGAGAGAGGTGACCAGGCTCGTGGGGGCCAATGGAAGATCTATGGCCATGATGAAGATTTGTGCTCTAGGCCATACTCTGGTAAAACTCACATTATAAGACTGAAAATTAACATTGTTGTTTCTTATCATTGCTGGTGTCATACTTCAACATTTTATTCTGCACCATCCAAATTTAGTATCTTTTTTTGGATGTTTTTATTAAAATTATTAGCAATAAATAATATTAACGGATATCACTCTCAGGAGTACATGCAAATACCAGAACAGGCTTATGAGTTCAAGTTATGTAATTTAGCATTTTTACTCCAGTAACCAACCAGCTAGCTGCTTTTGCATCTTTGAAAGTAGAGCCGGATGATGATAGACAGCACTAAACTTTGATTGTCCAAGCATTGTAAGAACATTGCTATAGCAATTAAAGCTAACAGCAGGGATGGGTAATTTCTGGACTTCTGAATGTTCCCAACGTCCCTTACCCTTAGCTCTGCTGGCTAGAGCTATTGGGAACTGCAGTTTAGCAATATCTGTAGGGTTTATAAGCAGCCAGTCCTCGCTATCTGACTTAGATGATAACGTCCATACTTCAAACAAAAAAATCTTTAGCAAAGGTAGTCTATATTGGTTATCATAACAGTATGTTATTAATTAGTTTATACAGTAAATTCTTACATATATTGTATGAGGAAAGTCTCGTACGGTCCACCTTGGACCTATTAGTTATCTAATTATGAGCAATATTTTGTTGCTAATTCAATATAAACCTGAGAAAGCAAATATGGAAATGTTGCCATTTCTCTGGTCATAGCTTTCCTTGAGAGACAAACAAAATACAAAACCAATAATCTCCTGCCTCCTTTCATTCATTTTTTTCAAACTGAAATGGAAAGAGAATCCATCATAAATTTCAGTTGTTCTCTACAACAGTAATTAAGAATTTACAACAGTAGAATTACTCTACAACAGTAATTAAGAATTTTTGCTCAAGGATGCTATCAATCATATTTTAATCTGCTAGAATAATACTTTAAGAAAATATGGGCTATCTTATTAAATTCTAGTTATGATAGTATAGATATTCTAAAATTCCTACCATTCATTTTACAGGTTTTATCCATTGTCCCAAAATCAACCTGAATAAACAAATTGTACAATAGTATCAGAATAATTTTACTGTCTTCCAAAGTACATACCAAGCTTCCATCTGCTATTTCAAGGTTTTCACTATAACTTAGAATTCCATTTTGCCAAAGGATGGATGAATTCCAAAGCCATCAACCACCATTCATTCTAAATATCACTTACCATTCAAACATCAGCCTCAGTTTGTATGAGAAACAGCTGTATGGTGAAGTTGTGGTTTCTGCTCTGATTTGAATCCAGGTTCAGCTATTGCCTTAAGTTTTACTAAACTCAGTCTAAATAGAATGTTCTAAATAGAATGTTCAGAATAGACTGTTCAATGAATAGCTTGATTGATTTCAAATGGATCTGAATGCTACTAATCTATCTGAATGATAGGATCTGTGACTAGTTTAGTCAGGATCCAAAACTGTCAGCAGACCTTTGTGTATATTTTGTAGTTCTGTAGTTGTGCAGAAATAGCTAATTGACAATGCTGAGATATGTAGCTTTTATTAGAAAAATAAAATAAGGTTTCTCCACTAAGATAAGTAGAAGGTAAACAATGCCTCATGAAGTCTCTGAAGCCAAAAGGTGAACCTAGAAGGATTTCCAAAAATGCTGGGAGAACACTGCAATTCCATTAGTCTTACTGTTTTCCAAAACAAATTTATAAATGCAGATTTATTTTGTTTGGATTTAGTTTCTCTCAGTCAAGGATTTGTGCAATCTTGAAGCAGAATTTTAAGACTGATTTTGCAATATGAAAAATGAATAAGCAAAACAATTTTGAATAAGAGCAATTTACTAATATCTATGGAATTGTAACCTACAATTCATAAGACAAGTATGTGTACTTTTTCCAAAAGAATATATGACTTAATGGATAGGAAATCTTCATTGCCCCTCCATTGTCTTTGAAGATAGAGGAGAATTATGTTTCAAAGAATCAACCTCATTTAATTGTACTTCGCGTTAATCTACTGTGATCTATTAACTTAAAAAAAATCAAGAGTTTTGTGGCAACTTAGTCTAACCAATTTTTTTATCACATAAAACAATAATTAAATTGGATAATTTTTAAGGTTCCATTCATTTTTTTGCCAGAAAAGATGGACATGGCAAGCCTTCTGAAAACTATGAACTATTCAGATACTTCCAAAACATAAATCACAATCATAGGAATAACTTTTCCAGTGCTTAGCTATCTCCGTTCTCGACAGGAATAAATCTTTTGTTCTTGGAGTTAAGTAGCACATTTTCAAATACTGTCAGGGGCTGAATTGTCTGCTGAATATTTATGAGCTTAGGTGGAAATGGTCTACTTTTATGTTTTAGCCATCTGCCAACTTGATCTTTTTCAGCAAATTCTCTTTCAGTCATTGTCCTGTCCTTAACAATTAAATCCTGTATAACTTAGTAGAGAATTTATAGATTAATTTTGTTACTGGAAAGTGTGTGGGGGACTATTGCAGGGGGAGAAAAAAATGTAGTCATGTTACAGATTGGAACAGTCTTCCGGCAATTGAATATGTGTTGGATTAATTTGAAATTAGGCAGCATATGCTGATGGCATATTTAGCCAAAGGAATTATGGAATGGCTTATGGAATCTTAAACTGGATCACAGAGTGTTGGTTGCCAAGCCTTTTGTTCAAAATTAAAAGCATTTCCTTCTTCTAGCAGAAGAGGACAAATATGAGTCACAGCTTTCTCTCTTTTCCAGAAATTTACACAATTCAAGGCAACTCTCATGGAAAGCCCTGCACCATCCCCTTCAAGTACGATAATCAGTGGTTTCATGATTGTACAAGTATGGGACGTGGAGATGGTCACCTCTGGTGTGCCACCACACAGGACTATGGCAAAGACGAGAGATGGGGATTCTGCCCCATTAAGAGTAAGCTGCTTCCTGTTGTATGGAATTATGGGCATACGATTCCCTAGGCTAACCCTTATGAGAATGAAGTGGTGACTGTGTCCAGTTGAGTTAAATGGGTTCTTTTTTTGCCAGACTGTACAAGAGTTTTTATCATTTCTCCTTTTGACATCTAAGCTCCTTAGGCTTCAGGACTATGATTTTGTGAAATATTCTGCTATTACACTCTGCATAGATTTTTTTTCTGGGTCTTCTTGATGCTCTTTCCTCCCATCCTCCTGTCAGCTGGGCCAGTTAATATTAACTCACCTATATTACTTTCCTATACTTCCTGCCTTTAGTTGCTACTCTTTAGCTAGGCCCAAATTATATGTATGAATTTTCCCAAGCACTTTCTTTCTTTTCCTGCATTATATGTCTGATCCTTCCCCTTAATAACTAGGACACCGATGAACATTTGGTACAGATCTAGCAGTGCAGCCAGACTTTGAGTACGTTTGTCATGGAACACACAGAGGGAGAGTTGAAGCAGAAGCAAGTGTGGCAGGGCGGCAGAGCCTGTCTGCTGAAGGGAGCTCACTGGGGCCGGCTGGGGAGGAGGTAGTGGGAAGGAGCTGTCAGTTTGCACAGGGCAGGAGAAGTGTGAGGTCCTCGCCTAACAACTACAATTGGGACTACTGGAACTGCCATCACTAAGCGGTGCAGTCACATGATGTTTTGCCTAACGTTTTGCTTAGTGACAGAAATTCTGGTCCCAATTAAGGTTGTTAAGTGAGGTCTACCTGTATGTCTTACAATAAGAGCAAAAGCTTAATGTCAAATTCAACATTCAAGAAATGTATCTTTTTATGCAGGTGCTACAATCTGTATGACATTTACACATAAGTTTATGCATTGTACCTTATAATCTTAGCTATCATCTATCTATCTATCTATCTATCTATCTATCTATCTATCTATCTATCTATCT